GGCCCCGCCCCAGCTCCTCGCGGTCGCCCCACAGCGAGCTCTCTCGGGTGGGCGCGGGGCCGCCAGGTGCGAGGGCTTCCCGCGCCCGCAGCCCGACCTCTTCTGCGCCAGCTGCCGCCGGACCTCCGTGTCCTCCGACGTCTCTCTTGCTTCCTCCTCCTCCTCTTCGTCCTCCGTCCCGGCTCGGCATGGAGCCCTCACCACCTCACCGAAGAACGTGGCCGCCATGACCCGCCGGAAACCCGGCTCGCGGCACTGCGCGTGCGCCACTCCGCTCGACCACGCCCCTGCAGGACGCGCCTCCTCCCCGCCCCCGTCGCCTGGCCACGCCCCCTGCCACGCTTGCTTTGTTCCCCGAGCACGAGCACGGCCCCACGCGTTGCAGCGCACGCTGCTCCCCGAGGTCCTTCCGCGTTCCCAGCGGACCCTGCAGCGGACGCCGTGGAGGACGAGGACCCCAGCGGCCTCCAGGCCGCCCGCTCCCCAGGCCTTTCCCTCCTGGCAGGGACCGGGGTCGGGGTCGGTGCGCACGCACCCGCCGCACTCCTGCCGGGGCACGGCCTAGAGCGGGAAGCAGCCCAGCGCGGCCCGGAGCTGTGAAGTGCGCATTTCAAACGCTGGTGACGGTCGAGCTGAGCTAGAATCATTTCTATGAGAATGCTCGGCCACTTGCAGTGCAAAACTTGCCCCGAATGACCCTCCGATGGTGACCGTGTGGCCGGCTTCCAGCGGACACTACCCCGCCTGGGGAAGAGGAGGGCCGCCGTGACGCCGCGCACCGGAGACCAGCGCCCGGAGCGGCGGGGAGAGGCCGGGCGCCTCCTGGGCCGCGCCTCCACTCCCTACGCGCTGCTCTGGGGTCAGAGGGAGCCTTAAACTACACACACGCCAAAGTATTCAACAGCTGGGAAGCCAGAAAAAACGTGGTGGTCTTGTTCATGAGAGTGATCTTCACTATGGTATTTTAAAGCATAGGGATTCCAGGTTCATTGGTCTAAGAGGAAACGCAGAAAAGATTTTGGGGCATTTCTTGGTCTCTGTCCTTTTGTAAAATCTTTTTACCAGTTAAGATATTCAATTTGGGGCTGGGAAGGTGGCTCAGTGGTAGAGCGCTTGCCTTGCATGCCTGAGGCCCTGGGTTCGATTCCTCAGCACCACATAAACAAAAAGAAAAAAGCCAGAAGTGGTGCTGTGGCTCAAGTGGTAGAGTGTTAGCCTTGAGCTGAAGAGCTGAGGGACAGCACCCAGGCCCAGAGTTCAGGTCCCACAACCGGACCCAAAAAAAAAAAAAACAAAACAAAAAGATATTCAATTTGATTTTCTCAGTTGTGCTATGAAACATCTTTTCTGAAAGTGACTAAAATGACTGTAACGGTGATGCATTCGGCTATGATGTACATGCCACAGACATTTCAGAGAACAGTTCTACAAGAATGTTAAGTTTTAAACAAATGCTTGTTTCGTGCAGTTACAACACATTTAGGCCAAACATTTTTAGAAAGCAAACACATGTTCAAATTAAACACTAAACCATAAAAGGGATTTCCAGTATAAAAGGCCAACAATACAATCTCAGATTGTGGCAAAAATTAGCCCTGCCACTACAAATGATAAATTCAAAGCTTAAGTTCATCACACTAAAACTGTAAGCCTTCACTGAAACTGAAATATTTTCATTTTATGGTATTTGAGTATCCTCAATCATATTATAATATGACCAAATAAGGAATTTCCATGAAATCTGAGACTGGAAATAAACTCAAGCATTCCACTAAAGTTCAAAAATTCAGCCCCAAGCACCTAAAAATAATAGCAGTTTATTAGGAATTCCCTTTCTCACCTTTACTAATAAATAACAAGATACTGGACAACAGTTCTTCAAATTAAAGTATACTTCAAAAGAGCAAAGAAGATACACTGTAGGTTAGAATATTCTGGTTTTTCCTTAAAAGCAAAAGTCCTTTTAAACAGACATGCAAGCACAAATGAATTTCTCAAGTAAGCTAGACGTTTTGGTCCATTTGTATAATCAAAAAATATGCATTACTCTTAGTGAAAGAAAAAAAAGAAACTTCCAGGTTTCTGTATTTTACTGGTTCTGATTTTACACGTGCAAATAATATATTAATACTCACAGATACTTTTAAATGTGAAAACAACTTGCTTGAGACAATTTTTTCCAGTAACATCTTACGTTAAAAAAGATTTGATGGTACATTCACAGATCACAGTGTGTGATCTTAATTTTAACAAAAGGCTATTAACAACAAATTAAACCCCATTGCAAGAAAATCATGTGTAGTACTATGACCAGATTTCCTAATCCTATCAAAGGCCACAATGAAAGAGGCTAGACATGCTGCCATTAAAGTTTGTTGTGATGAGACCATGGTGAATTTGCTCAGAATTCTAATTTTTAAGGTGCTGTGGAGACACGTAACAGGAGGACAGTCTATCATCTAAAAATAGGACTGTTTGGATCTTGTTGTATTTTTATTTTCATTAAGACTAATTAAGCCTGCCTCTTAATTTTTGCTGCTACATGAAAGGAGGAAAAATGGAATAATCACATTCATAGCTCTCATAGAAAAAAATATATATTCCCTGAATTACACATACCAAGTAGACATTCAATGTGAATCTCGATGTTAGGACCAAAATAAGCCATTGCGTGGTTTGATCAGTCTTCGCCTACTGTAGAACTAAGTCACACCACGAAGCAGCACTCCATGGTCCTTTTCACTTGCTTCGGACCTCTGGGATATGAATTACCACCCAGCAGCACCAGATTCCTCATGGGAACCCCTTGGAAATGTGCCTAATTTCGTTCCTTTAATTTCAGCAATGACATCACCAGTCATGATGGGCAGAATTTGTATACACTAATGAAGAGCCCTTAAAATTAACATCAGACTGAGATTTTGACCTTTTTCTTTTCCAACCTTGGAAATTTGTCCTTCCTGCATGTTCTGTACATTTCAGATTTCCTCCCTCTGAAGAAAGCATGGAGAGATTTCCTCCAGGCCTGACCTTCTGTCAAGGAAAAGCAATCCTGTGATGGACAGGCCCTGTGCCTTCCACTTTCCTCAGAACTCCCTGTACTTCTGGGCTGCCCAAAAGCCATGACCCTCCCCCCCCCCCCCCCCCCCCCGCAAGAGAATGCATGTTCGAAAATTCCTCAGAAGACCCCTTGGGGGACGGACCTAGAGCTGCCAGGTGAGCGCTGCTGGCTTGAGGCTCCAGATCACTGAAGCTGTTTCTGAATTCTCATAGTCACTATTGTGCTTTTTCTTTCCAGGATCTGAACCGTCTAAAATAAAGCATTTTGCTACTAATGTCTTCTAGCTCTTTTTCACTCTCAGAATTTATGGGTGTATCCTCCTCTTTATAAACATTCAGTAATTTTCTCTTAGCAGCAGCAGAAGCATTTCGGTGGGGCAATTTTCTGCTACTCTTCCTAATCCAGACATTCTCTGCTCCTGAAATCGTCTCTCTTAGGTTACTCATTATCCTTATCTTATTTGCAGCAACAGTAGCACATCTGCGGGGAACTTTCTCAGGTACCACATTTGTTTTCAGGGTCTCACTAGGCTTTTGCACTACATCCGTCAGGTGATGCGTACATGTTCTCATGTTTGTATGGGGTTCTCTGTCTCTAGGAACAGATTCTGAAAAATGAGTGAAAGGTCACGTAAATGCAAAAATCTTGTAAAACAAGATTTTCCTCAACAACACTTTACAGTCCAACCTAAAAACAAATGCTAATGCTGTTTTGACACTGACTGACTGAACCTCAGATTTCCTTCACCTGTTGCCTGAGATTTGCTGATACTTAACACAGTAACAGACTCTGCATCAGAAAGACTCTCCCCTAAAAGTATTTGAAAAACCCATTTTAAAAACAAGACCATGTATGTTTTAAACTTTTGGTGTAATTTCTAGTCTACTTTGAAACACTGTTAGCAAGCTGTGATCTTTCTAGAAGGAAATCTAGAAGCATGATGGACTGGGAAGGTGGCTCAGTGGTATAGAGCGTTTGCCTTGCATGCTCAAGGCTCTGGGTTCGATTCCTCAGTACCACATAAGCAAAAAGAAAAAAGCCGAAAGTGGGCGCTGTGGCTCAAGTGGTAGAGCGCTAGCCTTGAGCTGAAGAGCTGAGGGACAGCGCCCAGGCCCAGAGTTCAGGCCCCACGACCGGACCCAAAAAAAAAAAAAAGTTGGCAACTGATTGGCACTCCAGGCATTATAGATTTTTTTTCCCAAGCACTGGAATACTGTCTCAAAGCAAAATTCTTCAAAACAAGTCTCAAGCTAAAATATTAGTATTTCTTTGGCATTTATCTTATATTGGCAATTATCTTATATCTTATATTTGGCACTTATCTAATATTCATTAGCCCCTGAATTTAGGCATTATTTGTTAAGCCAATTTTGCAGCCATGAAGAGTCAAACTATCTAAAACTATTAATAAGGTATATAATAGTTGGGATGGAAATGTCACCATAGGATTTAATTAGTAAGTTGAATTTCTCCCTAAAATACTTTTCCCAAAATTGTGTGGGCCATTTCCCTCCAATCAACTCTGCTGAACCTGTGTGGCTCCCGTGCTGTTTTGGTGATATTTAAGGATCCTGGTAGTGGGCACACCAAGTGTCACGGAGCTGCTCTGTGGAGCAAGTTCTTGCTTCTTTGAGAGAGGACAAAGGCTTTGGATGCATTTTACCTCCTAAAATAATTGTGAACTGCTATGTTGAGACAACCCTATGTCCAAAATGTACACATTATTCTGATCTTGGATAAATATTATCAATAGGATCCAAGAGTGAAGTTTTAAAATTATATAGCAAATTTAGTGTGCAGTTGCAAGGGCATCGTGGCCCTTCCATGCTTGGAGAGGACTGTAGCTGGCTGACAGCTGCAGACACACACTGCAGGGTGTTGGGTCAGTTGGATAGTGCAGTATTGTGAAAGCTATTGTTACAAGATGGCAAGTAACGGCAGGTCTTTACATGAGTGATGACTGAGGTGTGATGACTACACTGACAATGTAAGAAAAAAATGAAGGTAGGTTTTTAAAAAAAAGTTTAAGGAAACCTAAACTTGAAATAAAGAACTATCCAGAAGAAGAATTTGAGAACTATTTTGTGTACAACCAACTCCAACTTGATTAAAAAAAACAAAACTGTTGACACTAAGTTCTGAGAAGATACACTGAGAATCTCACAGAAGGAATATCAATTAAAAGCCAACCGAAAGATGAGACCATGTGGGGATTTGTTTTTATTGATATATATTTATTTCTCAAGCCAGTACTGGAGCTTGAACCCAGGGCCTCATAGTCTTGCTCGTTAAGGCTAGCACACTACCAGTTGAGCCATACGTCCACCTCCAGTTGAGGCTCATGGACTCTTCTGCCCTAGGCTCGCTTTAAAACACAATCTTCCCATCTCAGCATCCTGGAAAGCTAGAATTATAGGCATGAGCCACCAGCACCTGGTGAGGCAATGTGTTTTTAAATGCATACTTTTGTTAACTGTTAGAGAACCTGATCAATTATAACATGCTTTATTATCCTTGAGAAAGGAGCTGTTTTTTAG